GGTCTATCTTAACAAGGCCTAGATTGGCTTCATTTTAGCAAAAAATTACCTAAAATTACTTATTTCAGCGCTTAGCTGCAAGATCTTGACGTAGTTAATCTGTTATTTAATAATTGAACTAGAAAGAAGAAATTGCCGCAAAGAGAGATAAGATATTTTTTCTTGAGGTCTGAAAGTCTTTCTTAAATAAACCATAATAAGTTCTCTGATTACTTAAAAGTTAATTTGTCTTATTACTCTGGAGCTTTTTAGCTTTTCGATAAAACTTAAGTACCAATTAAATTAATATTCAACAGTTTTGAAAAATACTCGTATGCAGAAAACCAGGCGGAAGATATTTTAGAACAAAATTTTGAACAAAAAACATAAAATTTTGAAAAACGTATACAATATAATAATGAGAAAATAAATTAGTACTAAATAAATATGTACTCAATGACACAATTACGCACAATGGTAAGGAATAAATTAAATTTAAATATCGGTGTACGATTTTTAATGGAAAAATAACTGATAGACAAATGTATGTAGGTTAGGCTGTTGTTAGTTACAAGTTGCTTTTTTTTTTAGTCACAATTTACAGTTCACGTGTAGTTGAAGAAACAAGCTTTAACAATAGAAATGGCACAATTGAAGAGTTATACTTTAGGACAGAAGAAATTAGAAAACAAAAACCCAAAACTTAACTCAATTTGTGTTATAATAATGTTATGGAAAATATAAACAAATGTTCAACTTGTTCAAGGTAAGTTCACAGTTTTTAATTTTACATTAAATATTTATTTTTGTATAATACAATTACATTGATATTGTTCGTTATCATATACAAATACATACATATATTTACTCAGCTTATTTTACCATATGTATATAGTATTATTATATAGGGGTTAGTTAGTACAAAAAAAAAAAAATATTTATAAAATCATAGGGTGATCAATACAACAACAGCATTTAAATAGTTTCTCTTATTCATTTACATTGACAACTTAGTTGCTGTTTATTGTTATTATTGCTAGTAAATCGGAGGTTATACAGTGATCACTCCAGGGGACGTGAAATCGAGTTTGCTGCAGAAAGCATTAAGCGGAGTTTACACCAAGCGTTTTAAGTGTTGAGAGCCGGGTAAATGTGAACGGTCTTATTTGTTATCCAGCAGCTGTTTGGGAATATAATACAGTTCAGAGTTTTGAATTTGAAATGAATACGATCGAATGGATGTTTGGAAGCGACGATATTGACTTTTGTATCTAATTTTTAAACAGTTCAAAGCAAATAGAAATGAAATCGAAAGGTTTTGCGAAAAATCTGTAAAATCTTTTTTGTTCCTTTTTTTATATTTCACAGTATTGCGTAAGGCTAAATGCTTTGGAAGCGGTGTGACATTTGGACGTAGTGTTTCAGAAGCTTTTCATATGCTTTTTACACACATACATATGTAGGTATATACATATATCAGCAGTGTTATCATCGTGTGCAGAAAGTTTTTTTTTTTGCATGAAAGTGCAGGTAACGAGGCGTGTATAAAAAATATATTAATATGTATATATATAAGTATGTATATGAATAAGTTGTGCACAAATCTTAATCATTGAGTGGTTTTGAGCGAAAAGTTAATAAAAATCATTTTAGAAAATGTCGTAGCTGCTTCATTGATACAAGGCTACCATCGGCGTAGCCAGAACTCATAAATAAGAATCTTTAAATCCGCTGGTGCAATACGAATACCTTCAAAACAAGCGATACCCTTGAATAAGGCAAGATAGGCCAGTGACGGAGTTAGAAGTTTTTACAGGGGACAATCGGTTGGGAACACATATTGTTAACATATATCATATATATATATAACATATATCCATTGTATAAATCATGCTGGGAGACGAGGATAGTTCCAAGCATTTTCCCAGCAACCGTCCTGCGTTCGCTAAACTGAATGGAACTGGAATGATTTATCTTTTGTTGGGAGCCGTCCCAAAGGAGAACATTATTAGTTGACTGCGGTTTAGGTGTTGGGTTAAAAGATAGTTAGTATCATGCAGGTTCCCTTCGCAAGTCGGATATACATACATACAATTATTAGACAAGTTACAGTTTGATTTTGATGGTATATTTTATCGTCTGTCTGTCTATACAACGTTGGGTCAGGCGATTTCGTTTTGTAATCTAGATTTCGGCCATGAGTATGTAGTAGTGATGCACAGAGCTTAGAAACTAGAACGTGAGAAGCGGAAGAACAGACACTCAATTCCAAACGAATCGAAAGCGGTTCCAGAAGAACCGGAAAATGATCTTAGAATAACCGAAAAAGTACATAAGTAAAACGAGCTGAAAAACCATTCCAAAAGAATCGAAAACGGGTCTTTTAACCCGAAAATATGCCCCAAAGCCCACATTGCACTATGGGCAAAAAATTTATTGTTTCGGTATAAAGTCTAAATATGAATTATCATTATAAATCGAACATATGTATGTATTAAAGAGTTCTGAGTTGACCAAACCGAATATATCATATATCCGCCATATACCCGATCTGGAATTTATTTATTTTCTTTACTATACTTTATAACAAAAATACCGAAAGAATTTGAATTTTTTTAAAATTAAAATTTTTTTTTAGCTATTTCGATAGAGCCTATTCCCGGTACCACTTTTTTGAAAACCGGAACCGGTCCGAATTCCCGGTTATCCTTGAAACCGGACTTGACAGAACCGGTTATTTAAATACGCGTAACCTCACAAAACTATTTAGCAGACATGGCTTCTGAATGGGGCCTTGGAGGGAGCTCAGATTGAAGACCGAGAATGACGTGCTAAGCATAAATTTTACAGTGTTTTGACAGATCTATACCGCCATACTTGTGTCAAGACGTTTCTTTGTTTTTTGTTGGGGGTTATGCGTTGGTCATGGGGAATAGTCATGAAAGTGGTTATGCTCCGCAAATGAAAAGTGAGGTGGACAGTATTAGTTGTTGCTGTAATTTTAGCGGCTTACTCAGGCTTGACTAGGTCGATTTGTCAATCAATCGTGGTCGTCAAGCTCCACTAATGTGAGACCCAGGAAGCGTATGGGTTAGCCCATAGGGACAGGGGCGTTAGTTGCGTCGGGCATATGACGCATGCAAAGAGGAAGTAGAGATAAATACGTAAAAAATCTTCCACTTCAGTTGATAATTCTTAGTTGAAACAACACTTAACCCAAAGACCACTCAACAATTTCTTTATGCTCTTTAGTATAAGAAAACGTTTGTGTTTTTTGTTCATTTATTACAAGTATTTAAATAACTTTTTTTGCGATTTAGTGTTTTGGCTTTGCATTTGTTTTTTTTTTTTATAAAATAGATGATCAGCGAAAGTGTGACAATGCAATCGATGTTAAAATGTTAGTGTTTTAGTGATAATTTTTTATTTTTTTGTTAAAGATTTACTCTATTTGTTTTTGCTTTGTTTTTCTCATTTGTTTAATTTTTATTACTAATGTTTATTTTTTGCTGTTATTTGAGTGAAAATTTCATAATGTTTTGCCATATTTCATAATAATAGTTCCCTTAATTCTCAAAAAGAAAGTATCTGTTTTTATTATTTTTTTACGCTTTAGGAATTTTTTTCTCAATTTTGATTTTTAGTTTAAAAAAATTATTAGTTTTTACTAATTGAATGCCTTTCCATTTAAAATTAGTTTTTTCCATTAGCTCCAGTTTTAAGGAAATTATTTCATTAAATTTTTAGTATTTTAAATTTATTTTATTATAAAAAATAAAAAATTATAAGTTTTCAACTCATAAACTTACAAAAAATCGGTAAAAAAATTCATATATTTATGAGAACAAAACTAAATAAAACTAGGCTCACTACTCTATAGCAATTAAAGCAAAAGAAAAAGCAAGCAAAAAAAATGAAAATGTGTGGCATGCATTACCCAACTTATTTTAAATTTGATTGACAAAATTCTCATTTCAACATGCACCCTTTAAGATTTTATTATTACATATATGCATTATTTAAACACTTATGTTTCTTTGTTTTAACGAGATCCATACAGACATTTTTCAAAACCAACCTTATAACATACTAGTTGCCATACAACTTTTTTTAAATTTATATCATTTTTAAATTCAGTTTGTTCACAATTTCATCATTACGCTCTAATATAAAATTTAAAATTTAACAGCCAAAAGTTTTTTTTTTTTTTATTAAATGACAATGAAAAAAATTTTGTACGAAAACTTAAATTATATTACTGTAACTGAAAAAGGTAGATTTGTAAGGCTAATATTAATAACAAAGTAGGACAGTAAAAAAAATACCTGCGTCATAATGCCGTATTTCCTCTGGGCACTGAATGACAAAAGTTGAGTGACAAAGTGGGGCATTAAAAATGTCTAGTGGAAACTCGGCATAAGAATGCATAACCTGTTTAAGGAAATGCCTTAATGGCGGTGATAGAAAAGGGACTAATATTTTTTTGTACATATTAAACATTTGGGTTAGTAAAATAATTTATAACTAAATTCATATATACATTTGTATATTAAAAATATATATTCAAATAAATAGCATAGTTTTTAAGAATAAATTTAATTGTATATGAAATTTGAGGCCATGTAGAATGGTGCTGCCGCAGTAGCTCGTATATATAGATATACACTTTTCTTACTATTAAGCCAAAATCATATTTTTGCAAGGAACTACTTAACCTAAACCTAATCTAAAATATATTTTTTTAGTTTTCTCATCATAATTTAGTTTAGAAATCATTTATAATGCATTTTTCAAAAGTACATGGGATACCTTCCACCATGAAATTTGTTTTACTACTCCTCAAATAGGTTTAATATTATAAACAATATCCAAATTCTGAATGATTTTCAGCAAATTTTTATTTTTATTGTTTTTTTCTTCTCAACATCTAAGTAGTCTTTGTATATTTATTTTTATTTTGGGTAAATTATTATTGTAAAAATACTTCTACTAAATCGTCCTATTCGAATGTAATATTCTAGAAAATATGCCCACGTATGTCTATGTCAACATGTTCCTACGGTCAATCTCAAAAATCGATGATTACAAAATGGTGAGTTATCAAGTCTTTAAGCAGTGAATAA